TACAGGGTGTGCTGGGGTGCAGGGCCGGCTCCCGGGTGGTGCGGGACTCAGGCGCGGTGGCGATGCGTGCAGGATGACCCAGGCGTGCCACCGCAAGTGCGTCCCCCCGCACTACAAGGAGTCGGAGCTGTCCAAAGGGGAATGCGTGTGCCTGGACCGCTGCGTGGCCAAGTACCTGGAGGTGCACGAGCGGATGGGCAAGAAGCTGACAGAGCTGTCCCTGCAGGACGAGGAGCTGCTCAAGCGAATGCAGCAGGGCACCGGCAGCGCCTGAGCCCCCACCCCGCACCCCAATAAACCTGGGGCGTCTGCTGTGCTCCCCTCACCCCCCAAACCCACCCTGTGGCCGTGTGTTGGGGTACGTGGTGCCTTTGGTTGCTGCTGGGAGCCCCCCTTGCTGTCCTCAGCTGCCACGTGCCGTGTCCTTGTGGGGGGCACCCCTGGGCGCCCCCCCCGGCTGGGCCCAGCCCGTGTAATCCCCCGGATTAGGCAGAGCTGGGTTGAGCCCCTTGTAATCCCCAGTGGGATGGGACAGGGCTCAGCCCCTCCCTGCCTGTGTGTGCTGGGGGTCACCAGAGGGGACAGCCGGGGCTCCCGGCACAGGGACACAGCCCCAGAGAGACGGGGCGCAGGGACACTCCCAGAACACCCAGCCCCGGCTGAGGATACACAGATGGGACCATGTGGGGACAGCCCAGGGACACCTCTGCTTGGGCAAAGACCACGTGGGGACAGCCAGAGACCACAGGGGAGGGGGCATGGGGACAGTCCACACAGGGATGGACACCCCCACACACTCTCGGGGGCAGTTGGAGGGGACACGGGGGGGGACACGGACACCCAGAGAGTTACACCTGCTGCGGGACACCCCACGCTGCGTGAGGGACACCTGCCGAGGGGCAGCCCAGGGGTGACACACAGCCAGAGGGACCGAGGGTAGGAGGTGGGCCGTGTCCCTGCGCCCACAGCCCCGCAGCGTCTGCTCCATCTGTGCGCTAGCGCCTGCGGGAAGTGGGTCAGGCTGTGCAGGGCGCGGGGGTGGCTCCGCACCCCGCGGCTCCCGTGACACCCGCCAGCACCCTGAGAGGGGTGCGGGGTGTCGGCGTCACGGGAGCCCGCGTGTCACCGGCCCCGCGTGTCACCGGCCCCGCGTGTCACCGGCCCCGCGTGTCACCGGCCCCGCGTGTCACCGCCGCGGT